AAGTCCAGGAAATGGCATTTCAGAGACCCTAAATTCAAAAATTTTCCGAGGGGGCATGCCCCCGGACCCCCCTAGAGAAACCTCGCACCTGCGGCGCTGGGCTCGTGCCTTCGACACTCGTTTATCAAGCATTACAATATAGGGGCGCATATTAGTTGAAAGCCAACTGGCCCCCCAGAAAATTAGTACCCAGCACGCCACTGATTCAGTTATATACTTATATTCATTGAAAATTTGAAATGAATATATATTCATTTCACTGGTTTCTCGAGAGTCATGCCCAATCAGTGAAATCATAGTTAATATTAACTATGATTAGTTCATATTAACTATGATTTCACTGACTCAGGGCATGACTCTCGAGAAACCAGTGAAATGAATATATATCCATTTCAAATTTTCAATAAAGTTTAATATAATGGGAGGAATTTGGGAGAAATGGAATGAGATTTTTAATTTCATTGACCGCCCGTGAGATCAAGGAAGTTTTGTTTCAACACGGGAAAAAACTAGGCAAGGAGATGCAAGTAACTATCACCTGCCGCAGCTAGAAAGAGTGTATTAAAATGAGTCAAATTGCAAAGTTTGGTTGCGAAATGTTGTAAAATGCAGAACATATAGCCTTGCTATAAGTTTGCAATTGCAACTTGTACACTTTTGTATTGCGTGCGGATTTTGGTACCATTTTCGGCCCAAATCACAAGTGTGGTAGGAATTTCCGCACGTAATACAAAAGTATACAAAATTTGCGAACTTTGCAAGGCTTATTTTCCGCATTTGACAACATTTCGCAACCAGCCAACCAAACTTTGCAATTTTACTCATTTTAGTATGCTCTTTCCGGGAATATACTTTTTTTCCAAGATAAAAAATAAAAATTAGTCTATATTAATTGGGAATTGTCTATTACGCGTGGAAATTCGCGAATATTCATGCCCAGCACCTATAAACCTATACGAACGGGCATAATTCCACTGGAGGAACGAGAAACGAGTTGAAGTTTTAATCCTTATCCGTATACTTTAATGTTGAAGCACCGGTCTTAAAACCGAAATAATCAATACTAGATTCCCTTTATTCCGTTTTCGTAGCACTTTGCATTGTCGTTATAGTGGTATCTGATATTAAACATGGCTTATTTTTTGTCCTGGAAAGAACTTTTAAAAAAAGTTAGGGTCAGGTGCGTGATAGCCAACAGCAAAATATTCGCGAAAACATTCAATACTTTCATTCGAGGCCACTATCTTTATCGTGATACCACTATAACCACAATGCAAAGCGCTACGAAAACGTAATAAGGGGACTCATCAATTAAAGTGCTCTCAAATTGCTCTCACTTTTAAGGAATTATCCTTAAAAATAGGAATTTTGAAGAGTTTTAAGGATTTTTTAAGGAATTGTTTTCAGTTTTTAGTGCTTAGAAACAAGGTTGAAAAACTGAAAAACAGCAAAAAAGGAGAAAAAACACTTTTTTCAACTATGTGACCAGGCCTAAAGGCGGTTTTCCAGTCCTCGCACGAAGCTCCTCGCAGCTCGCTGCGAGTGCTTGCATCTAATTAAAATGAACTGTTTAGCATTGTGATGGATGAAAGTGCTCATGCATCACTCGCAGCGAGCTGCGAGGAACTTCGTGCGAGGACTGGAAATCCGCCTTGAGGTAATTCCGCAGTTTTGCATTGCGCACTTTTACGGCGCACATCTTATAACTTATAATGTCATCCATTATATACTTACCGTTTAAAACAAATCATTTTATGTCAATTTTATGTTACTTCAAAACATCTTTGGTTACATTCGTGCAAAGAATTCCGTTAAAATCAATGTTTTCAAGAAAGGCATACAAAAGTGTAGCTAGGGTGTCTCTGTGTCTGTAGTATATTTATTTACTTGTATTTCACTTTTAATGCCACAATTCCCTAAAAAGATCGGTGACCCCCGTTTTTTAACTGATAATTTGTTTCTTTAATGCATTTTACATTTCATATCCGAAATTAAAAGAAAAATCATTTCTGGATCTTGAAAAAAAATCCTTTATCAATGCATGTTCTCAAAGAAAGATATGTAAAGAAATGTGGATCAGAATTGTTTACCGAGTGGTTTCATTTTGTTCAAAACACAATATGTTTTCAAAAATAATTACAAGATAGGTTTACTAAAGCAAAATCCGCGCTAAAAACTTCAATAAATATCGGGCTGTTGTGATTTTGCTGTTACTCGTAATGAGCGTCAAGATGGCGCCATATTGGGGTAAAGGTGGTATATTATGATTGTCATATCTTCTTAACGAATTCGGTGACCCCAACTTTCAGGGAACGCCACTTGCTATTGTATGTTATAGGCTCCAAAGGCGGTAGAATCCCTGTGATGTTGTCCACTGTTCACCCTGTGTTCTTTTAAGCAAATGTGCCTCAGTGGTGTAGTCCTGGAATGTTAACAAGGGGGGCTCTTCAAAAGTGTGCTGAATTGGGGGGGGGGGGTACAATATGATATTTTGGAAATTCTAAATTTTGTTGGGGTTTATTCTAGTAATTGTGGGACAAACATTCGACATTATTCTTATTAAAAACAATTGCCGTTAGTAATATAAAATATTCTGAGCGTCTCAAAAGGGTAAGGAATTCAAGGTTTCTGTACTACTTTTTGAAGATGTAAAGCCGGTGGTGTACCTTCAACTGGCTTCAAGCGAAAACTACATTCAGTGGCCGGTATGATTGGCGGTTAGCGAAAAAAAACGCCGTGAAAAAATAGGACGCGGTGAACTTCCCTTCCTCCAAGCTATTTCGCCCAGTGGGAAAGCGGGGTTCAGAAAATATGAAAATTTCTGGCTGGGACTGTGACTTTGATTCCCGGTCTAAATTTTCCATATTGCTAACAGCCTAACTATTTATAAAGTGTAACATATATTTTGAAATATCTTCGCGGGAAACCTCTTTAATAGCAGGTGTATTATGTATATAAAATCAACAAAATTGAAGTGAAAATGCTATGGATAGCAGTGCCGTAGGAAGCTCTTTTTGATTGGGGGCTGAAAGCGAGGGCCGAAGGCCCCGAGGAAATTTTTTAATTTAGAGTCTCTCAAATGCCATTTCCTGGACTTTGGAGAAGATTTGACAGCGTTTCAGTGTCGAAATTCATAATTTAGTAGTACCATGGATAATAAATGGATAATTTATTTTATTATCCATGGTAGTACTAAATGGGGCGAAGGCGTATTTAATTAACTATATATTGGATAAGTTGCAGGACAGTATGGGTAATATCTTTATTCTTTGCAGTTTGTCATGCATGGATAATGTAGCCGCTTAAAATTAATCATTTGTCAGTATTTTAAAGGTATATTATTTAAATGATAAAAGTCTGTATGATTTAATTGGAAAAAAGAATGATTATTAGGAAATTATTGGGGGGGGGGGGGCTGCAGCCCCCCGGTTGCTGCGGCCCTGGATAGAGTTTAAATCTGACAAAACAGGATCGGTACTTCAACAGCCAATTTGCTACGGCGCATGAGCAACACGATTTAAGTAAAGATTACAAAAATCATTATTATGTTAAATGATGACTGAAAATGAGATGCAATTCTAAAGAACATTCTCGTTTACTGATATTTTTGTGTGTGTTTTTGACGTTGTTAAGATTATGCAACGTGCAAAAAATTTAGTGGGGGGGGGCTCAGCCCCCCCAAGTCAACATGAAATTTTAACAAGGGGGCTCAGTTCCCCTGAGCCTCCCCCCCCCCCCCCCCCCCCCCCCCCCCCCCCCCC